GGACACCTATTAACTTAATTTTCACTAAAAGGCCTTCACCTGTGTAGAACACCATGACACAAATAGCGAGACAAGAGGTTAAAGGACTAGCATTACATTGAAGGGGTGTAATCGAGTTTGAGTAAAATCCATAAACAGCAATAGCTCAAGCTCGATTATGTGACTCAACTCTTGAAACTTGTTCGAGCTTGCTTAACACAGGGTTCCTTTCCATCTCCGATATACAAAAGCTTCTGCCCAAGTTTCAGTACAGTAAAAAGAAACAGCAAGGTGTTGTTTTTAGTTCCATCCCAAACAAGTGCTATAAACACAAGTTAAAACCCTAAATGACCTAGTAAGCACTTACTGACTGAATCCTTTAAACCCTTTTCGTCATCTAAAGTTCAAAGCACAAGGAACCAAACATTTAGCAATGCAGACATCAGATTATCATACTTTTAAACAAAGGCCCGAATTTCCTTTTTTTCGGCCATCCTCGCATGCAGCATTTGAAATATAATAAGAAAATGAAAAGAAATTAAGAAATTCGAACCTTTCAAACCAGAGCTACTCTCTTCTTCCTTTTTATCCACCTCCATTGACTCCCTCTTCACTTCTTCCTTGATCTCCTTCTCTTTCTTCACTTCCTCCTCCTTTATCTCCACCTTCGGAGCCACATCTGCAACCTTCTTGCTCCTCTCCTTCGCAGCTCTCACAATAGCCGCAATCTCCTTATCAACATTCTCTTTCCGAAGAAAATCACTTTCTTTAGCCAGAAAATCAAAAACCTTGTCCAAAAACCCAACAGGATCCGACGGATCCAAGCTAGCGTTAAACGGCACCGCCTTCGGCGTCGTCGGCGATGAAGAAGTCGAGGGTTTCGCCACTTCTTCTTGGAACTCGGAGATTATTGCCATGAATCGACTCGGGTGAGTTGAGATGCGGCTTAACCTTAGGGATTTTTTTTTATAAGCTGACGAAGAGTCTCCTTAGGGATTATGTAGAAGAGGATACAGACTGTATTTGGTTCGAAGGTAAAACGGGAAAATTATAGAAACCGTGCGAAAAGCCCACTAACTATCCCAAGGGTTAACTACACATCTTTTTATTTTATCCACTTTTGGCCAATGATTTCAAAAAACATAAGATATGATCACTTTTATTTTTATTTAATTAAGATGTGGTCACTCCGAGTTAACTACCGTTAACAGCATTTAAATATTTTGATATAATCACACATTTAGTCCATGTTATTTACATATTATCTCAATTTAGTCCTAACTTGATATAAATCTTAAAGGTCGAAATCTCATTTTAGTCCTTTTATTATGCTTAATTTTGCGATTTTTGTTTTTTAAAATGTAAAATACATTCTTAAATATTAAACTTTGGCCATATTTTTGTTTTGATCATTGAGCTATAAAAATATAAAATTATAGTACTAAAGTTTTCTAATTCATTTTTTAGTCATCAAATCGTTAATATTTTATCGTGGTTTATGATGTGATTTTTTTTCTTTTGTAAAAAGATCTTAAATCCTTTCAATTATCATCTTCTAACGTACGTGACATAGACGGAACAACGATGTTTACCTTTTATCCCCATTTTCTTCTCAATAATTTTGTTATTCTCAAAATTCATTCAAAATCAGTGAAAATCAAGTTACAATTTTAATCTTCTAATGCTTAAATCTCGGTCGATAATGGTCCAATGAAGTTAGTTTCATAATATATTATTTTCTTATTGAAAGCATGTTTCTCACTATTTAAATTTTTGGTTGACCACGTCCAAAACCAGTAAATCCGACGAAGTTTCTACCCCTCTAAGAAAGAAAGAGATAAGTGTTAAAGTTTTGTGGATTTTATAAATATTTTGACAAAATTAAATTGATAAACGATAATAAAACAAATTTATAAGTGTATATAGTGACCAAAGATATAAGAGAATATGATAAAATGATAGTCGATAAATAATATAATTAGACTTACTTTATCATATACATCAGTCGAATAAATCTTATAGTTAACAAACAAACATAATAGATTTAAAAGTATGATTAAATTGAGAGAGTATGTAAGTAACAGGAACCAAATGTGTGATTATATCAAAATATTTAATTATTGTTAACGGTAATTAACTCAGAGTGACCACATTTTAATTAAATATAAATGAAAGTGACAATATATTAATTAAATAAAAACGAAAGTGACAATATATTATGTTTTTTGAAATCAGTAACCAAAAGTGAACAAAACACAAAGATAAGTGATATGTGTAGCTAACCCTTATCTAAATCATCACTTTTTATTTTTTTAGTATTTAAATTTTTAATTTTTTCAAAACCTCATTTAAAGTTTAGTTTTTGTTTCATTTTAGTACCCGTTCAAAATTTAATGTTAAGTTTTAAAAAGATTGAAAGTTTTGATACTAAAACGGACCAAAATTGATAGTTTAGGTACTAAATACGTTAGGTATTTTGAACTAGATACTAAAATGAAATGAAAACTAAACGATATATATGGTTTTAAAAAATTAAAAGTTTAAATACTAAAACTGACTAAATCTGATAGTTTAAGTAATAAATGCATAATTTACCCTGAATTATATAAAAAATAATCTTTTTAAACATCAAATTTTTAAAAGTCACATGATAATCAATAAATTTTACATTTTATTATAAACTTGATATCATATTTTTAATCACTATTAAAGTAGTAATGTTAAATGTTAAATTAGTAAAAAAAATTCATTAAATCCTTCAATTATAAAAGGTAATCACGCCATCACAGTGTGGTTGAATGGATCGGGAGGAGTTGGGTCGAACTGACGAACAACCTAGAGAATCATAAGTACCTTTAATAAACAACATTATAAATAAGTATTTACCCTTAATTTAAATGCAATTAAATAAAATAGTTAAATACATATGCATGTTTAGGGTTTAAGGCTAGATTCAAAGGCTTTTTAGTTATAATTGGTGAAACAAATAATAAAATCAGATCTATTACATCAAAAAACCTAAAATATGATTTTTTTTATTAAAAAAAGTCAATTTTTGGTCAAATTAGATCATGTCAAAATTAATTGTCTGATCAAAGTCAACAAGTCAAACCGATTTGAGTTGACTTAATACGATTTGATTTAGTTCAAGTTGACTCACTTGGCCCAATTTAAACATAGACCAATTTAGATCGGTTTGACTCAGTCTAGTATAACTGGACTGATTCTAGAAGGATCACGATCGAGTGAGGAGCCCCACGCACATGGGCGGTGTGGGGAGGTATGTGCGTCGGTAAAACAAACGGTAGAGGCGGCACGGTTACATCCAACACACTCACACATCAATATCCATCCAAAAACAAGTCAGAACGTAGAAAAAAGAGAATACGTGTGGCCGAAAAAAGCTTACCCACGACGGACGAACGATGCACATCAATGGAGCGATGACAAAAGGACACGATCGCCTGGGTTTTGCTCGGAACTGCTCGAGGAGTTTAACGACGGTGACAGTGTAGTGAACGGACGCCGGGATTAGTCGAAAACAACGAAAAAGTGTACGACATTTTTGAGTTTCCGACGAGGCTTTTAAGGCTTTTCTATGGAAAACGATGGAGATCCACAACGAGTTCTCGACAAGATTTTGATCAGAAGGTGACCACGGTGCTGAAGATGGTGACATTGCACACCACGGGCGTCAGAAGATTGAACGATGATGAGGGGGCGGTGGATTTCTTTTGAATTAATTACTGTTTTCCGATTTATTGACTATCTATTAATTCAGATCAGGTACTGTAGAGGTGAAGACGACCCTCTCAACCTAATTTGTTCTATTCACACGCACCAAAATTTGAACGATGATGATTTAACTCTACATACTGTCATATAATCATATTTATGAAATATTTTTCTTCCACCACCAATTTGTGAATATTTATCTATATACTTAACCATTATTTAAACTAAATTTAGTCCAAGTCCATAAAAATCATATTATACCACTATCACCCCTTAAGTACACTTAGGCTTCTCTGGTGAATGCTTTGTTTCAAAGTTATGGATTTTTTACTCTATAGATGAATGCTTTGTGTTGAAGGTGAGGGTTTTAAATATTTTTTCTATAGATTTTAGGGTAAATTACACATTTTGTATTCCAATTATTATTATTTTTTCATTGTGGTCACCCAGCTTTTTTATTTCAAAATCATGCATAACGTTTTATTTTAGTATCATTTTAGTCACCTGTCGTTAAAAAACTAACAGTGATATTGACGTGTCACCGTAAGAGAATGTCACTTTGTCATTAGAAAATAAAAATAAAAATGGCACATCAGTAATTATGTTGGATTTTTTAACGTTGAATGACCAAAATAAAACTAAAGCGTTACATTAAATATGATTTTTAAAAAAATAATCAAATGATCCAAACGAAATGAAAGAGTTAGAGTACCATAGATTTTACTGTCAATTTATAGATAGCTTCATATATTTATAACGTATTCCTATTTTAGAAAACATGATTCGTGACTATAAAGATTAGATTTTTTTTATTACCCTTCTTGATTTTAAGACTTTGCCTTGACAGATTCTAACTAATTCAGGTCAAACATCTAGTTTTGGTGAGCGAATCTCCCAACGGAGATTTTTTACTTGCATAAGAACTCGAGCTTGAGACTTGCCTAAGCAATATCAAACTGCTTTCTACTTGAACCAACTACATTGATAAAGATAGATTTTGTTGATAAAGATGGATTGGCAGGCAAAATAATAGAGAAGCCCATGAGAAGAACTCACAAAATCGAGATCATTTTGTCTTCTAAAATGCACGAACCAACTTACTTCAGTGGTTAAGAAATCGTTGTTATTCCTAGAATAAACAAATTGTTATTGTTCCTAGAGGTCACAAGTTTAAACACCAACGACTGCAGTAAATTGGTTGAACGTCAATTGTCAAATGATTGAAAGTGTTTAGAACAAATACTACTTTGTAGTCATAAATAATACTATAAATAGTAGTCAACGCATCAGATAAAAGATACCATCCTTGAGTATATAAATAAATATATTGTCTATACTATAACATGTCTTTAGATAAAAAAAGAAAAAAAAAAAGCACTCACTGACGAAAGATAAGGTACCAGACACAATTAATTATCATACTCAAAGCTTGCAAACGGAAGGTTAGGGGAAAACATCATGTCTATTACACATTTCAATAGACGCTGAAAACTTACTATCCATTCACCATCCCAGAAGGAGGTTGGCAGAGGTGGAACACACGACCGGAAATCGTTCAACAAACCGAGAAGTTGTTAAAAATTGATTCAAGTAAAGTTCTGTATGCACGGGCCGGCCTCGGGATTTTGCTGTTCCTTCCATACCCTTCCGGTAACCCTCAGCTTCAGCTCCTTCCTATCTCCACCAGAGAAGAAAAGTGCCATGTTCCGTTGGATAATCAAACCATCATGGCTGTCCCTGACTTTCCGGTGACTATCACGGATGCTACGTGGGGTACCTTCCCATGTAAGTTTCCGTCCGTTTGCTCCAACCTCAAGGCTGTAACTATAGTTCCTAGCTTCTACTTCATCACCCATGAAACGGAGAAATGCCATGTAGACCGGGGCCATACCGAGCTGGAAGGCTTCAAAGTGAAGGCAGAAATATTGACCAAAAGAATGGAAGACCTAACAAAGAGCAGATAAGCCAGCAGATCAAGAATTGTATTAAGAAGATTGTTACAGAGTTTATTCGGCTACTCGCAACATGTAGCATCCTAGAAATAACTAATCAAAAGATGGCACAGCTGAACAAAGGCCTATATGGAAGATACTAAAAACTTACTGTTAACATCCAAGTAGCATTTTCAACTTCTCGAGGGTTGGACTTCACATAACGATGGTTAAACGTGCTTCCCGTGTGCATGTCAACCTTGTGATCATCTCTCAGATGAGCAACCAGGAAGGGAATATCCCCAACAACCGAGCACTCAGATCCGGCATAAGGGCAATTGTATGGTCTGAAATTGCAAATCACCTCGTGTTTGAGCTTGCTGTAATACGGAAATATTTCAGGGCATCCACGAGTGCAGTATTTGCAAGGCAATTCAAGGGACTCGGCCACTTTCTCCAGTGCTAAACATCGAATATCACCCAGTTCCAATCTACAAGTGGGACACTGGTTGTGTACTCTTACTTTACAGGTAGAACAAAGTGTATGCCCGTTTTGGCACTGCAAAAAAGAGACATGTTAAACGAGCAATTTATCGTCCATTATTTACAAATACCCTTCATCTATACTCACTATATAATCAAACAAAAATGTAATGATCTTGGAGTCTCATTCCATCACAACATTCTCCGGCTTAAAGCCGAGCAAAAACAGAAAATCTCAGGTTATCCCAAATTCCGGATCTATATCATCTCTTATCTTTGATAGAGAACAACAATTAACAAGCAGAACATCACACCAAATATTTACAAAAAACATCCTCCAGCAATCCAAATCATTTCTAATTAGGAAAAGACTCTTCAACATGACCACAAGATCAATCCGATGTTCCCTACATCCAGTTCTAAGTAACAATCATTCAGTTATAAGCATCAATACAAAGTTCATTTCAATCTTATTTGATAACAAACAGTCATAAAACATTATTGAATAACCCTAATTTCTGAAGCAGCCATCCAAAGATATATGTTAAAAAAATCCAGAAATTCAAGCCAAATTTGAAAAGTAAACATTAAACAAACAATGCGGTTTAAAATTTCTGAACCCAAATCCAACGAAGAAACAATCTCGAATCATAACATAATGAAAATCCGAACAGAATGCAAGGCAAATCTATTCGAACCCATCAACGAACAAAATCAACCAAAAAATAGCAAAACTAACAAAAGAAAACCCGAGATTTTAATACAAAGAAAACACAATTAAATTGAAAAAAAAGAACACCGAAGACCTGATGGATTGGTGGGTACATAGAATTGGTACAAACAGGACATTCTAACAACTCATGGACGCTGGTAGCGGGAGTGATCCCCGTAGCGCCGACGACATTGTTGGCGTTGTTGGCTCCATTGTGAGGCTTTGATGATGAGAGTTGATGGTGACCATGATGAGGGTTTGGATGGTGAGGATTATGGTGATGGATCTCATCCTCGTTCAATCCCTCTGAGGACGACACACACTCGATATTATCAAACTCCATTCACACACCGGCTCCCCCAGAAAATCTCAGACTCTGTTATTAATTTGAATCAAAACCCAGAAATTCAAAGGAAATTTACAATATAAAGCCCCAACTTTGCCTGATTCTCTTCTTCTCCTCTCGAAATCCTATTCATTTTCCTAAACAATTAGCCATCTCTGTTTTTGTTTCTTCAAATATGAATTAGAGGAAGAAGAAGAGAATATAATCAGAAAAATGAAATAGGGAGAGAAAGAATGGACTTCCCCTTAACCAAACCGCCCTCTTTCCTCTCTTCTCAAGCAATTATTTTCTTGGTTGGTTTTTCCTTTCTTTTTACTGTTTTATTATTCAAATGCTAAATAATGTTTGGGTAAAGTGCACAAATGGTCCCTCGACTATAGTGTACTGCTTCATTAAGTACTTTAATTATTAAAAATTACAAAATAGTGCTTTAACTATACAGTGTTGCTCTGTTGAGTCCCTCGACTATTAAAAGTTACAAAATAGTCCTTTAACTATACAGTGTTGCTCTGTTGAGTCCCTCGACTATTAAAAGTTACAAAATGGTCATCCGACTATTCATTATGTTTCGAACTCGTTCTTTTTCGTTAAAAATTTGACGATATTCTGAGTTAAACTTTAACATGTTGACTGTGATATTATAAAATCTAATCTCATTGTAGAACTTTTAATAGTCGAGAGACTCAACAAAACAATACTATATAATCAAATAACCATTTTGTAACTTTTAATTATAAGAAACTTAATAAAACAATACTCTATAGTCGAAGACTATTTATGTACTTTACCCTAATGGTTTTTATACAAACTATAAAAAATGTTCTATATTTTGTTTTTAAAATTATAATCAAAAATATTTTTTTTAGTTGTCCTTTGGTTCCAAGGCTTCACCCTAACTAATCTGGACTGATCCAGGTCGCACGCCTGATTTTGGTGGGTGAGTCTCCCAACATGAATTTTCTGCATGCTCAAGGACTTGAATCTAGGACATTGCTTAAGCAATATCAAACTGCTTACCACTTGAACCAATCTCGTTGGTATACTCAAAGATATTTATTACTTTTTTAATCTCGTTTGTAAAGTTAAAAACTGATTTTAATATTTTTTTAAAAAAAATGTCTTTAACATAGTAAAAATATTTTAGTTTAAAAATAAAATTTCATGTATTAAATCTTTCTATTATGAGATTTTTATATTTATTTTATCACACTTAAAACGAAAATATTTTATATAAAAATAAATTTATTAAATTTTACTTAAAAGTATATAAAAATATCTATAACATCTAACATCAATTTAGTTAGGTTTTTAACTAAAAAATTGAGTTAATTGTACCACACATCTTTAAATTATAATCTTTATTCTAAATTGGTCCTCAAACTTTAAATATTCTAATTTATTCAAATACTTCATTTCTGCTCTACTAAAATGGGGTAAGGTTGCTATAGGAGTTAATTGTGGTTGTTTTCATTGAATAAAAGATTTTAAAGTGATAATTTTAAGTGTACGTTTATTATAACTTTTGAAAAGTAATTTTTAAAAGTATTGTAGAAATGGATTTTTTAAAATGATGTACAAAAGTACAGTTTAAAATTTAATTGTTTGAGATTGTTGTTAAAACCTTTGTCTGCAGTTGATTCATTAGAAACCCATGTCTCTCCTCATCAAGATGCTGCTGCTTCTGGCTTCCACAGGTGGGGGTTTCTCTTAAGTACCCATGATTTACCTCTTGGGACGTCTGAAATTCTTGTGCTTTATGTTACATGGTATCCCTTTCCTATGCATGTTTTGACAAATCTATGGAGATATGACCAGGAAAACCAGTTTCCGGTATTCGAGTCCGAGTGAAATAGGGTTTTGCATTCATCTGAAATTCTTATGATTCAAACATTGTTTGTGTTGCTATGATTCTTCATTTTTCTTAAAGAACATGATTCCAATGCATATTTGGACATAACTATGGAGATATGATCCTTGAAAAAATTGTAGAAAAACCTGCCCGGTACTCAAGTACAAATAACATAGGTCTTTACCATTAAGTCTGACCTATGAAATGATCTTGACATTGTTCTGAGTTCATCATTTGCTGTTTAGTTGTATCAGTCAGTAGCCAGTCTCTAATTGTCGAGTCTACAAAAATTAAGAAGCCGGAAAACATTGGCAATGTTTTGAAGTTTCTATTTACAAAAATCATATTCCTACCATCTGTTATTATCAGGTCTAAAACAGTGTTTGATGAAGCAAGTGCCTCTGACAGTGTCAGCGACTTTGAGAGACAGCTTCAAGAGCTGTTCAATGAAGTCAGAACTTTGATTACGACCGGGAATGAGAAAGATGCTGTAGACCTTCTTCAAGCAAATTATGAAGGTGTAAAGGAACGGATGAATGCTGGTTCAAAAGGCATGGAAGAAGCTGCTATTCTTGATGTCATCGCCTTGGGTTACATGTTGAATGTCTGTTCTAGTGGGTAATAGGTTTTAAAGGTTAAGTTCCAACATCCCAAGTGATAGATAAACACTAAAGCGCTGAATACAGTAACAACTATTCTTCTTGTTTCCTCTTTTAATGTTGTACATAATTTCATGATGGCAGATTAGTGAGATTACAGATGATCAAAACGATGATGAACCCCTTCTCGACTCTATACTTGTGCATATGGGAAGCATGCATTCAAATCTGGGCGAGTTCGAGAAATCCTTGCTTATTAATAAATGAGTTACGGATATTCTAGAGAACAAACATGGTACGGGCCTTAATCATTGTTGCCTATTTTTTCCGTTGACATTGCGTGAGCTTAAATCAGTGCTGATTATCTCAAAATGCATGTATTCTCCTAGGTAATAATAGTGTTTTCCTTGTCACACCATTGTCGGGAATGGCAAAAGTTCTTAGTTCTACTGCAAAAGCTACACAAGCAGTCGATATTTATCATCGTGTGATTCACATCTTGGAACTAAGTAGAGGCGTTGCAAGTGAGGATCTTATTGTACCTTTGTTTGGTCTCGGAAGTCTTTTAATGAAGGAGAGCAAAGTTACCGGTGCAGAAGACGCTTTTATTAGGTTAGTGAGGACTAAGTAATATGGGAAGAATGATGGAAGAGTCGGACTTGCTATGTGTTCCTTAGCCCATGTAAAATGTGCAAAAGGTAGCGCAACCAGAATTCGGGGCCTTTGCGTTGATTTTTCAATCATTAGACGTTCTCCAGTAATTCGAAAGCCTAAATTGCAAGTATAGTTCATCGTACCACGTTTATTTACAGAAAATGCAGATGCAGCCATTGATTTATACAAAAAGGCTCTCCAGATAATAAAAGATTCGAGTTATATGCCGTTAGATGATAGCATGATGGAGAATATGCGGATAGATTTGGCTGAACTACTACATGCTGTGGGAAGGTGTGTTCGATGCATGATTATGACTTAATATCTGAACGTATTCAGTAAATTGTAATGCATTGTTTTTCTCAAGCCTTAGTGATAAACCGATCTGTCGATATCCATAAATGTCTCTCAGGGTGGGAGCACTGTTCACATGGGATAGTCCTTGTTCGGCACATATTCGGACTTGGGTACGAGGATATGATCCTACTGATAATGAAAAAACATGATTCTTCTCATATAAACATGTAACGTCGATCTATGTTATCGCAGGGGAGGCTTTGGGTTGTTTGGTTTCGATTCAGACCCGACTAGGAAAGGGCGAGGCCAAGTTACTAGAGCAGCTCAAGAGGGTTTTGAGGATTCAAGAGGAAGGGTTTGGCGGTGAGAGTGAGGAGGTTATGCTAACCCTAAATAAAGTTGTGATCTATTCGGATCAAGTACAAACAAGTTGTTCCATATTAATATGGAGCTTTTTCTCGGATTTTCGGCCAACTCGATTTGCTTCGTAATTCATTCACAACGAGTTTAAAATATAATCGGTTAATATAAAATATAATAAAATCGATTGTAACCGAAAAATTTTGGTTGTGTTCGAAGAGTTTTTCTACTAATAATATATATGAAAACTTGAACATCAAAAACAATTTTTTGACCTTAATTCTTCCTTCAAATTCAAAGTCCTCAGAAAAGACTATAAATGTCACCATAAAAATGTTTTTAATATTAACATGATATTTTTGGGTAAACTACGAATTTAGTTCTTAAACTATCAGTTTTGATATGTTTTAGTACTTAAACTTTTAATTTTTTTAAAATCATATTTAATGTTTAGTTTTTATTTCATTTTAGTACCCTATAGTTAAGAACTCATCGCATTTAGTACCCAAACTATTGGTTTTGGTCCGTTTTAGTACCTAAACTTTCAAAAAAAATCAAAACTTAACGTTAAGTTTTTAACAGTGGTACTAAAATAAAATAAAAACTAAAAACTAAACTCTGGGTATAACTTTAAAAAATTGAAAGTTTGATACTAAAATTTATAGTTTAGGTACCAAAGATATACTCAAGGATTTCAACTTATTGATTAATTCAAGTACGGTTCCGCAAATCTAATATTTATTCTATTCTTGATGGTTTGACATGATTAGATCTTGTTTTAATTTTCATATTTATTTATGGTTTGGTTCTAACAAGTGGCATCATCTTCTTGTCATGTTAAATCATTGAGAACTAATTACGTGTTATCTAATAGACTTGAATTCGGTTTAATTTTGGTTAAATGTTGACTTGAATTCGGTTTAATTTTGGTGGTTTATGAAGTTATGTATTAATTACGTGTTATCTAATAGACTTCGTCGCTGCATTCACTGTCTTATCAGCAATTCCCAATTTACCTTCATCACGGGCAGGTAGATTCCCAACTTAGCAGCTAAATACTCTGTCCCGTTTCCTGAAGAAAACAAAGGAGAGATTATTCAGTTGTACCTTATAAAATATTTTGTTAAAAAAAGGTTACAAGTTGTTATTAAATTTAGGTCCATCATAACCATCATCTGTTTTAGTTATTTGGTTAGGTTAATATATTGCCAACCCTATTGCGTAGGACAGTAATGGCAGCTACCTGGGACAAAACAAAATGCAATCACTCCGAAGGGAAAGGATGCCTTCATCTCTTACGGTTGTAGCAGAGTGGTCGATTGACAGGCGGCCCGACTTGATCATTTCGTCCCGGTTTTGCATCAAGAGCTTCACTTGGTCGAATAGAGCACCTGCTGTCTTCATAGATGATGTACAAGCCAATTCTTGTACATTAGAAAATTCACTCTGCTCGAGAGGGGCTGTGCCGCCATGCTGAAGCACCACCCCGGGTTACGACTCTGCAAGCTGTGTCACCAAGG